AAACAAATGACAAACATCTTTCTTCCAGGAAACGGTCGCTTTCCAGTTTGAAGTTCTCTGATGGCGCGCTCTTGTTGCCATCAGCGTTGGTGGAAAGTTCGGCCGCATTTGCTGCTCCTTCTGAAGTTGAGGAACCTGAAAAGTGGACAAAAAAACATATAGAAAATCTATAGATAAACTAAGAAAAATATAAAGAGAATATATTACATTATATGTTCTCAACGTTTGTATTATTAAACTTTTTGAAAGGTAGTATAAGCTGTCAAAACATCATCGAAGAAACCATTGTCAGTTTTCTGGATGGTGATGTATGAGATCGGTTGAGGTTCAGCAGCCGCTGGCAACTCCATGTTCTTCGATTTCTCCTTCGCCGCCTCGCCCGGGCTCTGGCCAGCATCCGTCGCCTTTGTATGAGACACTGGACTCAAAACAAATGTACCAAGAGCTGCCTGTTCGCAAAACCTCTGTCGAATTTCGAACATGTTTAAGCATGTTTAAACTCGTAAGGCAATGTGAAAAGAACATTGGAAAATTATGAAAACAATTCAATACATAAAAAACAATATATAAAACTCCCAAAAGCATCCCAGCCCAAGTGTCTGGTGGAGCTGCAGCAGGCACTGCTGAAGATGGCTTCCATCCATTTTTTCCATGTCGCAGGTGTCTTCGTCAAGCAAGAAGTCATACACCATATAGATCCGTTACTTGGTGGGCACAACGAAGCGGATACTAGCAAGAAAAACCGAAAATATCTGAAAATAATGAAAAGTCTATGAAGACTTCTTCTAAAGTCTTATTAAAATCAAACAGCATTAGATGCAACACGATGCAACTACCGTTCCGGTCGACATTCGAACGACTGTTAGTGAGGACCCGCCCGCGCAGCCCGCTCGAAGACACCCCTTCACAATCCTCAGCCAATGGAAACATATTGCTAAATATTGTTTGAGGAATCCTTTTCAAATAAACACAACTTAAGCAAACCATGCGCGATTCTCGCAAAGTCCGAAAAAAATCTAAACATATCTAAATAAATTTCCAAGTAACGCACTGTGCTGTCCAAACCATATGCTTGGCATTGAATATTGGATGTTTGAATTCTCCAGGGCCTGGGCAATGATGGGCTCTCTGCGTCATTCATATGAATTGTTCAAAAGTACCACAAAAAATGCTTAAAACAAAAAAGCACATAAAAACTTGCATCTTGATTGATATCCAAGATGCAATTTGCAATTTGACACTTTGACCACAAACCATCTGGCGGGCCCATGGCTACGACGGCCCTTCAAATATCACACAAACTTCCCAAATGCCCCACAATGAGTGTGTGATAATATACATTATTATGTGTTCTTGCTTCAGGTGTCTTATACATTCTGACACTTTATGTTGTATTGCATGCTTCTTCTTCACTCTATCCATCTCTGTCCTGTGCTCTCAGCAGGTCAACGGAAGTCACCACGCTCACAGGAACGCAACATGCCAAAAAATTGATCAGTACCTACATCACATCTCTGGTACCCTCTGATTATTTTTAACCTCAACACCGGACTGAAATTATTTGCCGTGATTCCAGAGTAACTCTCCCACCTTTTGATTATTTACCATTATCTTCCTTCTGATTAATTTCATAGTTTCAGCTTCATCATCCAACTTGAGTATTCTGCAATATTCCTGAATTAATCAGGAAAAATTAATCAGAGACTCAGCGGTCCCTGTGATTCATTTCTTAACGCCGGGGATATGTTTATGGGGCATTTTGGCTGGCTGCGGCTCGCCTCTTTTTGGTGTGGAAATAGATGGTGTCGTTTGCCCGCCCAGAAACCCTCCGCTGCGGCTGCATTCTGCCTTATACGCACACCTCAGCTGCCAGGCAACTGGGCCAGGCAACAGGGCATGGAAAGCGACGTGCCAGGCAACTGCTTTATGGGCTCCCGAAGGCGACGTGCCAGGCACGGTTAGCTTCTACGTTACTAGCGTTCTTGCTCCTCGTTTCTACATTAAGCTTTCACTGGTCCTTCCCAAAAAAGGGGTCGGCGGCACCAGGGCGAAGCCCTTACAATTGGTGGAGTTGTGAAAGCTCACAATTAGCCGTGCTTTTGTACATGTAGAAAATGGTGTTCAATATTTAACTTACCCTTCACAACAAAATCATACCTCACTCTATCCAGGTCAATATTTAACAGATTCTGAACAGGATGTTGATTAGAAACCGATTGCGGTTCGACGTTTGTGTTTGAAAAGTTTGCTGGAAAAATGACATATCAACTAGTTCATTCACTATTGGAAGGTTTTACCACTTTATTTCAATTGGGAACTGGAAACCAATGTCAAACCAAAATTTAAAATATGTCAACCGTAAACCTGGAGAGTGCGAATTAGAGAAAACATTGAACACTAATGAACTAACAGGTCTTGACTACAGGCGCTTAGAAAGTTACTAACTGGAAACACATTGAAAACCAATACTGATTGATGTTGAACACCTTTCTGCAAGGGGTTCCAAGTTGACTCCATTGGTTGTTAAACCATTATCAAAGGGACGTTTAATTGGCGGCCAAGTGCAAAACCGACATTCACATTGATATTGAAACAAGCCTTAAAAGGGATTATGATTGCAACCAGATTACGAATCAATAGTTACTTTAAAAGTTCTACTTGGATACAAAATAACCATCAATAGAAAGAATGTTGGTTCTAGAGAGGGCTTTAAAGGGATTCAAACCGCACACCAGTCACAAATGTGTGTATATATATATATGCTCACCCCGGCCAATGATCTACCTTTTCCTGCTGTTCGTCTCTTCTACCTTTTCCTGCCTTCAGCTCTTCTACTTTTCATACTGCCCAGCTCTTCTCCCTTTTCCTGCTTGTCAGCTGCTTTTCTGTACGCGGCTACCCCCTCTGTGGAATAGATTCTTGCAATACTCTGATGAGATGTTAAGTAGATTGTTGATATTGTTGCAATACTCTGATAAGCTTCTGTCGTTTAATCAGAATGAAGAGGGCCCAAAAGGAACTCCCGTTGGAAAAGGAGTCCTTTTGTGTTTCCTGATGTCCCTTTAAACTCCATCAAACTAGTTGTTTCTTTTAGTTCAAATCGATAAATAATAAAGGATGTCCAAAAGAAACGAAAACAACAAAAATAGAAACCAAAACCCATCAAAAAAGCCTGAACCCAGAGTTCCCAAGTGTTTGTTGTTCTTCGTGTTTGTTGTCCAAAATTGCTAGAAATAGTACTGTAGGTGTTTTTTTGCATCTTTAAATATGTATCATGTATATATAGTTATATATATAATCCTTGAAAACAGCAGGTGTTTAGCACTTTTTTGAAAATGCTTTTGTAGGTTCAAAAAATAGTTGTTTGTATAGGCAGGCCCACAGAAAATAGCTGTAGGTAGATCATGAGGGGTCGATATATACATATATATATATATATTAACGATCAATATCTTGATCTTTGGCAATCATGTGAGAAACATCTGGAAAAGGGCCTTACCATAATCCCCTGCTCTCTTCTCTTGCGGGGGGCAAGTAGTTGCTATTAAGTAGATTTAAGTAGATAACGCTACTAGCTTTGGGGCTGCAAGGGGAGCTTCCTTGAAGAAGATTGATTTGGTTGTTAGGTTCTTAGGGAAACTTAAGTTTTGCAATGCGCTGATTGCCTTTCATAGAGGTGACTGTGGTCCCTGCGGGGTGTTCCGCCATGTGTTGGTTTCGCTGAAGAATTCCGGCAAGCACCTGGCAGAGTTTTGGAAGTTAAGTGCGTATGCCTAGACAAAACATGTGGCGATATGGTGATATGTGATCAAGCAAAGAGAAGAGAAGCCAATCAACTCGTCCCGTCATGTGTTCACGGTCAAAATCAAACATCCTTCCATGCAATGATGCCTTCGGGCCCAGGCCCATGGTGTGGGAATGCATGCGGTGTCACTTCACAGTTGGTTGCAAACAACAATTGTCTATTCCTGTCGCCAGCATGGCAAGAAGGCCCGTGGTGCAAATGGACATGTCATCTGGCCCTCGTGCATCCGCAAGTTCCCAGGCCAGAGCTAATAGGTTGGAGGCCATCACTAGTCGGTTGGAGGCCATCGCTAGTCGGTTGGAGGCCATCGCTAGTCGGTTGGAGGTCATCGCTACTAGATGTTTTGTCTCCAAGTCTAGGCTGATTGTGGATGCCTCTCGTGTCTCCGCCACCGGCTTTATCAATCGTGAACTACCCAAGAGAGAAGGAGATATCGAGCAAACGGTCAAGGTTATTATCCACTTCATTTCTGGCAAGGAAGGTGTGATGAGACCTAACGGCCACAACGAAGAACTGGAGGCTCTATCCTTCATCCTTCATCCTTCATCCAGCCAAGCAATTGAAAAGAGATTGTCACTTCACATCAGCGTTCCTGACATGTACAGTAAACTTTCAAGCAGTGGGGCGGCCTGTCGCAACAGACTTGATGGCTCCCAATCTATGCCACTAGTCTGCTGAGGAGCTGCTGCCAAAATAAGGACTGTAAGAATTGTCCCCCCAGGACACCACCATCTGTTGCGTCTTACGTGTTGCTAAATGCGGTAGATAACTGAGCTCCAAAGGCCATCAGTTATGAGCTTGAAGCATTAGCGAATCGACTAAAGTACTCTGACCTTTCAATCAGTCTGCAAACTCTTTGCAAAAACAATGCTCGGGGGGGGCCCTCGTTTGATTGAGCTTCAAATTATAAGAACTTGTTATGGCTCACTAAAAGCTTTATGAGGTCTCAGAAGATTGCATAAAGCAGCCAAGTTCTATGTCCTGCAGTCAGGTCCACAGCTGTTACATCAGTTGGAAGCTATCTCTCTCTCTCTCTCCACATGCCAACGAATGAGCAAACAGGTCTCGAAGCACCTGTCCCCTGCCATGCGCTGAAAAAGGCCAACAACCTGTGTCAAACTTGCATGCTGATTGCAAGTCTGCCTGTGGATTGAAGCATGCTGAGGCAGAAACTCCTACATAGCTGGTCAAAACTGATCCAGCTAGGACCAGTAAAGCCTGGCAGAACATCAGCCGGACCCCCCCGCACCATTCTTTGAGGGAAACAAAGCTTGTGACAAAAGAAAATACAAATGCCACCGAACCCTGCTTTGTAGGGAGTGATGCCCCACAAAGAAACAATCTAACGGCCCACAAATCCGTTCATACTCAGAACACTGGAACATGGCTCAGAAAAAGCTACAACAGGAGTGGAGCATTCTAAGGCCCCAGTCCGTTCAAGATGCGGACTACTTCAGCTTAGTTTTAATTTTGCTTTAACTTATCCTTGCGCTATTGCGTGGGATGTCATGGCGATCAAACTCAAGTTGGAAGAACTACAACAAACACCACAGACACCAAGGCTGGAAGGAATGGCAAGTCAGGCGTTGGCCCCAAAAAACGAGCCATCCAAAAAGGAATTGCAGTAGTGACAGGAAGGCTGTGGGTTGTGCCAAGATGCCTATGTCGCAGTGTTTCTTGAAGTCCATGGACTTCCTATGCAAGGAGCAAAAGGCTGGGGTACAGTGGAAGCTGCCAAGGATAGCCTTGCGATGGTGTTCTGCTCGCGAGCTTACCATGTTGCAACATGGTAAAGGTGAAGGCAAATGTGAAGGGTAGGTTGCTCAGCATCAGAGAGTTCAACGCTGGTTTACCGCTGGATGTTGTCAGTCGCTATGGCTGTATGGGGTTTCATCTTGGGCACCAAGTACTGGCAATTTGCATGCTTTCCCGGGAATTGCGGGCCCAGGCAACCAGGCTGTTTAAAGGCTAGTGGCTGTCGCCACTTGCCAGCTGCCAGACCACGATGCGAAAAAGTTACCTGTTTTTTGCAAAGGCGACTCTGACGCAGTTGGCATCGCTGTTGTTCAGCTGTCATGGCCAGCATTTTGGTACGGAAACAGGGAGCACCAAATAGTCTAAACAGCCCGGTCTAAGATAGAGGGGTATGCGGTATGCGAGTGTGTGTGTGTGTGTCCACTCCTGTTTCCAAGGACACTAATCTAGCTATTTCTTTTCCTATGACTTTACGAACCTTTGTACAGCACCAGCAGGGGGCACGGCGGCCGTTCACCTAGCCGTGCTAACAAAGCTATGGTGTTCCGCTGGAAGAGATACTGGACGCAGTATCTTGTACCTGCAATTTTTAATAGTACTCTCAACGACTTGTTCAAACATTCTGGTCGACCGACTCAGCACTTTCTCTTTAGTCAAGGTCTAATTCGCAGTAACACTAAAGTGCTAATGCTCACCGCGAACTGCCTGAAGACAAGCTCCACGGAGCAACCTTCTCAAGTGTGTTTCCGCAGCTTCTTCCCACTGTGGTAAGCTGTGTGATCCCTGCGGGGCGCCGTTACTGCAAGAACCTTCTCACTCCTCATCGCAGGAGTAAGTTTCCTGAAAATTTTACTGAAGTTCACTCGACCGAATTTTCCTGCTCGAAATCAGCTTGCTTGGATTGTCTCACCCGTCACACGTGAAGTTTACTGCAGAGTTCACTGAAACTTCCACTGAAATATACTGCAGAGTTTGACTGCATCAGTTTCACCCGAGAATCCTTCTCCTATTAATTTTTCAATTTTCAATTTCAGAGATTTAATCAGAGTCAGTTGCACACTCCTCCACTTTGCAGCATCATATTGTATTCTATCGTATAACTTTCTCAAGTTCAAGTTCAAGGACTGCTTTGATTTACATATCTACATACATACATCGACCTCATTCGATTTGCCGAGCAGCCATGACGTATCCCTGGCCGTATTCACTACCACCACACCTACAGCCCCAACCACAGCCCACACAACCACACTGGTTCCCTTACCCACCACAAGCTCCGCCGCACCCATACCCAACACTGCCACCAGTTCCATCACATCATCCAATACCTCACGTTTATCCACATCCCACGACATTTCCACCTCAAGCACACTATATGCAGCCACATCCACTACACACATCACATTATCCAGTACAACCTACCGTCCACTTTGACAACACCCAACATCCACAACCGCATCCACTACCCACAACACAGCCAATGCAGTCCCACGACCACACACCTCCAACACAGTTACCCCAACCACATGCACCACACTCTACAAGCCAGTCACCACCACCACCACAACCATCACCTCCCTCAACAGATCCAGTACACACCACTACTCCCGCAGCAACTACTTTATCACAGCCGGCCACATCCACTCCACCACATACCCAACCAGCTCCCACTGAGCCCACTTCAGCATCCATCACCACAACTGCTCACCCTCCACCACCACCCAGCGTGACACGCACAACAAAACCGACACCATCCATTGCACCCACACTCAGCACCACGAGAGGCATATGGCGAGACCCAGATCGATCGCCTCCACGTACACCTGAACACCGCCGCTATTCAGCCTTTCCTGCCATTCCCACCAGTGCACCATCACAAGCCACATCCAGATCCAGGAGCCGCACTCGTTCAGCCCGCTCTCCACGCTCTCCACTGCCACGACGACGAGGCTCAGCTACCCAATCAGTTGCCAGTTCACAACCACATTCCACGCCTGCTGACAGGCACACATCACCACCACCAGACTTGATCCAGGACAAAACCCACACTTCCACCAAAGGCATCACCGTTGCCACCACTACCAAACACACTCCAGAATCAGCCCACCGTACCTCTGGCATCATACTCAAACCCAATCCACTTTTCACACCCAAGCACACCACCAAAAAGGCACCAACACCACCGCCCGCAGTACCACCAACTATACCAGTCCAACGACGACCTCACAACCTTCCTTCTCCAAAATTTCAACCACCCACTGATCCAGCCCAATTGGATGTCTTCCAATGGATCAACCAGTATGCACAATCACTCGACGTTCACAATGAACCCATGATCTCCTACGTGGCAAAAGTGCTCAGCGCTGCCCATCTCAACAGCACCCACTTTACTGACATGCAACTTCTCACACACGCAAAATGGAACGATGACATCAACAAAGATGAACATCACTCATTCCTACTACTCACCATCCCCACACTTGCGAGCAGGGGCGATGCCCCAATCCTCCCTCCAACAAGGAGAGAAGCTTTGAATATACCACCGATTAAACACATCTTTGCTGCACATGTTAGCGAAGAGGGAAACATCATCTCCATACTTGAAGCATTGAAGCAGGAGAAATTGTGAGATCCGTTCTGCGCGACGACCACAATGTAGGTGTCTTTTGCCAGGCTTTCGAACTCTCGAACTATGAGCCACATGATGTTACCGAAGCCGCACGAGTGTTATTCAACGCTTCAAACATGGCTAAGAACCGCAGCGGCCTCATCTTGACGATCAAAGCTTATGGCCATGGCCAGAAAGTAACTCATGGGGGCGAATCCGCTGCGAATGACCTGCTGCTCCGCGGCGAAGGGATTGTAAAATATACTCCAGGAAAATGCTGGGTGGCACACCCGAAGCATTCAAGGATTGAAGGGATTGCCTGGAAAAGCGATGCAAAGCCACCGCTCAGCTTCATTTAATTCAACCCTTCCGGCCCAGGAGGGTCCTTTTTCACCCTTCATTTCGGTTGACGACAAGTCCTCAAAATACCCACATTGCTCGCTTTCCAACTCTTTTCTTTTTACTGCGTCACTATTCTTTGACAACCTTCATCTATTTTCAAGATGTTCCTTGCGCATGTCTCTATGCAGGGAATACAACATTGAAGTCACCATGACGGACGACATTTCAGACTTTTCACATGCACTGACTGTGTCGCACCAAGAGATCTTCATTTTTTTCACTCACTTGCTTTGTACCGCAGCCATTTTACATTATCCAAACTATTCAGTACGACCCTATACCGCTGAACAAGCCATACCGGTTCTACGAAGAGTACCACGAGTATGACATCCCCTTTGGACACGGCATTTGCACATCGACTCCTTCTGGCTCACCTTCAAGCAGCCACATCTATCGCCACCACGTTTCAAAACCTACCACCTTTTACACCACATCCACCACCACCTGCCAACCAATCCATTTCCACTCCGACCTCTACTAAACGATCACGCAGACGCACTCCACCACCGCCGCCACCACCTACACCACCACGCAGTCGCAGTCCACCACCCACCACAGTCAAACCACACTTGGGGTGCAAACCAGAACCTTCACCCTCCTACACACCCACTACACCGCATCAGCACTCACCAGCACAACACAAGGACGCAAAGACTCAACAACAACTGACACACCAAAACAACACAGGATTCCAACAGCTTACACCACCGGTCACAACAATCTCTCTCAACAGCTCACCCTCCACACCTCCGCCGCCGCCGCCAACGCCGCCACCACCATCTCCATTACCTCCACCTAAACCACAACAAGCTCTCAACGACTCCCCTCCATATCCCGACAATGGAGGGTGGGAACCCAGCGATGACGAAAAATTGGCTTCATTCAAGCTCAACAAGCGAGCTCGCCCCAGTTGGAAATACATTGCCAAGGCACTCAACAAAACACCCTTTGATTGCAAAGGTCGCTGGCAAGTCTTGCAGATTCTTTACACACCTCAACCACCTGAGAGCCCAGAAGCAGAAGCAGCATCACCTCGTCACACCTCTCACCAAGCCGAGGCAGCAGCACCGGCCAGACGAGATGCCAGCACGATGACCACAGAAGCCTCAGCACCATCAGACAAAGCGACAGAGACCGACAATGCCATAGACTCACATCGAGATCCATCAGCACACGACTGACAGCAGCTCGCTTTGTCAAACAGTTAGCCTACATCACCACTACTACGTCCCAGGACTACTTTGTGCCGAAGAACACCCAGAATTTCTGATGACTGTGTACTTATTTACAGTTTGCACTTATTTACATATTTGTACTTATTCCCAGCTTTGCACACTTACCTACTCCGCCGTTTCAGCAGTTTCAGCAGTTGTGAGCAATAGACTCCAACACGTGAGCATCACCCTACACCTCTTCCGCACGTGCTGCCAAAACAAGTTTGGAGTCCCAATAT